CGCCAGGGAGATATCGATATCGGGAGTGCTTTGCGCGTTGTGTGCAGATGACGCTTGTCATGGGTATGGATGAGGATGAGTGGGATGAGGTTAGGAGGGGTGGGGTTGCGGCAGAGGTTGTTGAGAAGCTTGGGAGAGAGGATTTGATTAGGGTTAGGGGGATAGTTAGGAGGTAGAGAGAGGTCTTTGTTTTAGGGCTTTGATTGGGGGTGATTTTGTATAGACTGGATTGTTTGATGTGTTTTGTTTGTTTGACTGGGTTTTTTTTTGTTTGTCTCTTTCCTTTTTTGTTCAGGTTTGTATCGAGTCTATGTGGATAATTGCATGTAGACTCGCAGCAGTAGGCGAGCAACCTTCATGTTTATATACATATCTACAACCTACAATTGTACAAGTGAGCGTTAACAGGAAAAGAGCAGTTTTAGATAATAAATAAATTTCAACCTAGGTAAATCAGGCTGTCTCGCTCTATACTGCAGACGCAAAACCAGAAAACATAGACAGAAAACAAGGTATTTCCCTTGCAATTCAATGAAGCAGTTTGTATACACGTACAAAGCCCAGTTTAATATCCCCGCTGGGCCATTTCAAGGCCATAAAAAACATAGAACAATGGAGCGCCAGGCCAAATTAGACTTATTCAAGTTGCTTTTCCCGAGGGAGGTATAGTTTGGTTTGGAGGTGGTGAGGTATGTTATTTGGTAGCGTGAGAGTGAGGTCAAGGCGAATAACAGATGGTGACATGTTGGGTGGTATGTGAAATCGGTGGTATAGAGTTGGTGGTAGAGGTATCGAGGAAAGTCGGAGGGTAGGTTGAAGAAATATCAAAAGCCCCAGGCTTTTGATTGCAAGAAAACAAGCACGCTCAAGGGATATCGAGATAAAGAAGCGAAAACGCGAAGAAAATCAAAGCTTGCTGGACGGAATGGCGTATGCAAAATGTATGCCATGTAAAGGAGATGGAGGGGAAATGAGTTGGAAAGAAGAAGAAAAAAAGGGGAAGAAAGGAGAATGTAGTGAAACTGATTAGGTCTCCGTCTTCTCGTGAACCGGCGTCATCACAATGGGTTCGGCACCCTGTGTATTGTGATGATGCTGCTCAGCAGCCTGGCGAGGAGCAGGAGCGATCTTGATCTCGTGCATAGCCATGTCACCCTCGCTGCCGCCACGGCTGCTCTGACTGATCTCGCCATTGGGCGAGTGGCCCTCGATCATCTCGCGCGGTGGGCTACCAAGCATCATTTCGCTGTGCTCGCCGATGCCGTAGCGCTGCGCGGCGGGAATCTGGTGGCCGTCTGCGAGTTGGTCGTGGTTCTGGGGGGTCCACGCGAGGTAGTCACGGCGGACCTCGACGTAGTCGTAGGCGAACTCGCCCAGCTGGTCGTCATCCATACCGAGCAGCTCGGCTTCCTCGGAGGCGCGCAGGTTCAGGCCCGGGATGGCGTTGATTGCGTAGGCGATGAGGGCAGACATGACGAAGGCGTAGGAGGCGGTAGCGACGATATAGGCGATCTGAATGTACAGCTGCTTCCAGTTGTGGATAACCCAGCCGCCGACACCGGTACCGGTATTGACACCGTCCAGGCCGACAATGGCGTCGTCACCGAAGAAGGCGTTGAAAAGTAGCCCGACAATTCCAGCGATGCCGTGCTCTGCCAACACATCCATAGAGTCGTCGATCCGAATCCAGTATTTGATCTTGGTGGAGTAATTGCAAACGATACCGGTCACAATGCCGAGGATGACACTGGCCCAGGGAGAGATAAATCCGGAGGCGGGTGTCGCAGCTACCAGTCCCGAGATGGTACCGGAACACCAGCCGACCATCGACCACTTGCGAGCCAGGCGCCAATCGAGCAGAACCCAAGTGATGGCGGCGAAGGCGGCGGTCAGGTTGGTGTTCCAAGAGGCCATGGTTGCACGCAGGTTAGCTCCAAAGGCGGAACCACCGTTGAAACCAAGCCAGCCGAACCAGAGGAAGACTGTGCCGAGGAGGATGAGAGAGACGTTGTGTGGGCGGAAGTTGAGCATCATGCGTTCCTGTCGGCGACCGAGGACCATCGAGTAGGCCAGAGCTGTGAAACCGGAACCAATTTCGACAGGACCACCACCGGCGTAATCCAGCACGCCGTACTTGAATGCCCAGCCGTTGACGTTCCAGACCCAGCAGGCTAGTGGGCAGTAAACGATCGTAGCCCAGATGAAAACGAAAACCATGGCAGGAAGCAGGCGACCGCGTTCCGCGACAGCTCCCATAACGATAGCTGCAGTGACACCACAGAATTGCATCTAGAGATTAATAAAAAAAAATCAGCATGGCCGTAGGGATCACAAGATCAATCCCAATGTTCGATCTTACCTGATAGAAGGCGTAGAGCAAGTTGGGAACCAGTGGAGAACCGGGGCTCGGATCAGCCAATGTATTCATTAAACCGAAGTTGCGCATGTTACCGATATAACCGTTGGTTGCGGTCGGGGAGAAAGCGAGTGAATAACCCCAGAAATACCATTGGAAGGTGACGACGGACATGGAAGCCATACAGGCCCAGATCATACTGAGAGCAGACTTTCGGCGGGCCAATCCTGAGTAGAGAAATCCGAGACCGGGGACCATGACCATGACCATGGCCGAGGCCACGATGATGTAGGCCTGGTCACCAGATTGAAACCATTTATTCACATTTTCGGTTCCTAAAGGGAATGTTAGACCATACCCCATAACACTATCAGAAAGGCGAGCATACGGGAATCGCCGCCTAAGTCTTTGTTGGTCGCAAGGTCGTAGTTGGAAGGAGCTCCGATCCAGTTGTAGGAGGCATAATCCGGGGCGTACGGGGCTTTCCCGCTGAACGCCATTGTGTTATGAGAAGCTCGCTTTGAAAGAAGGTGCGTAGGATGGAAGTGAAGTTGGAGAGAAAAAAAGTCGAATGTTCCAGAAGTTAAGGAGGAAGGAATTCGCCACGGGGCGATATAAAATAGAGGAAACCCGAACTTCTCGAGCCAAAAATCCAAAGATAAGTCGATCGACACTGGTGGGTCCCCCGTACAAAGTCGAAAAAGCAATTCAAAGCAATTCACAGTAATTTCCCAAGTAAAAAAGCACTGCCCAGAGAAAAAAAAGTTAAAAGAGATTCAGCTGTGAAACAGTTCCCGTAAATTTTTGAGAGGAAGGCGCGGTTAGGAAGAGAAAATCAGGAGATAGGTGAAGAAAAAAAATTGGTTAAAGTGGTCTCAGAGATTGTGACAGTATCAATGGGATAATCCCCGGTTATCCCCCCCTTCTCTCTCTCCAGATTTCTTGGATATATAAAGTTTTTCATTAGATTTCTGTATACATAATTAACATATTAACACATTGTCATGAACCTCGTCATTCCCGGCTCCAACAGCCGTAAGATAGTGGCAAGGGATAAGTTAGTATTCCGCCAATAGTTCAAACATTGGCCTTGCTTTTTTTTTTTTGAGGGATATTCTTGGACACATGATGATCAAACCATTCGGCAGTCGCGGGGAATAGTTCCTGAGGGTGAAGTTCCAGAGGATATAGGCCTACTTCTTATATATCTTTAAAAATTCTTTAAGCTAAATAACTTATAGATAGCTTATCATTAAATATGCTGCAGGTACCCTCCTTCCTTTCCATATAGAATAGGCTCGTGGAGTTCCAATTTCTGGAGAACAGAGAGTAAGAGGAGCTTATCTCTGTCTCTCGGATATCAGAGCTTCAAATTCCATCAAATTCCTATCCGCCACCAGCAATTGGACGAGTGACGCTGTATTCTACTACATCTGATTGGTTACAGATAAAGCCCAAGTTGCCACTTGCGCTAAGTGGGGCTCGGCCGCATGCCAAGCCTTTCCCGTTCGGTATTAGCGTATCGAAGTGGGAACGAGCCAACGATTGGCGACAGATAAGGTCCCTTTTTTGCTTTTCGTTCCCGTATTTTTCCGATTTCGGGTCGGGCAGGGAAGGACTTGATTCGTATTTTGGGACCGATGCCGGAGAATTGACCATCTCCGTATGTGGAGGTACAACATACATTGTTACATGTACAACATCCAATATTCAACTCTATAAGATTGTCATATTTACCTTGTATGCAAAATTTACCATTCTGCAGCGATCCGCTAGGGTCATCCACTCCCACGGGACTGGGTCTGTCCTGGGCCGAGAACAATTTGACGGGTATTTATAGCGTTTGGAAATTTTCATACTTTGGAGTATCCATGGATGGACCAGACCCTCTATAGCTTGATTGTACATCCCCATTCGCTTGCATCTCCGAACTACGCATATACCTAGATATATATTACTCCCAAACTCCGAACCCTAACCTCTATAATTCAATTACGGACTTAAACCCCATCTGAACTCTATCAAATAATACCTACGGAGTAGATTTAGACCAATGCACCAATGAGACGCATTGAGATTTATGGGGTCCACATCTGTTTTCGCTTATAGCGCACATCTTCACTAATTTGCACAATAACAAGGCCGGCTGGCCCAATGGCAAGGCGCTTGACTACGAATCAAGAGATTGCAGGTTCGATCCCTGCGTCGGTCAATTAAATTTTGCTCCCATGAAGATATACAACGAAGATATCATTTATTTTTTGCTCAGCGTGGGTATGGAAAACACCCCTATGTGGTTCCCTTTTCTTCTATTACATGGATTAGCTATGTTTCGTGGAGATGGTTTTTGCCTATTCCACCATGAGTTGTATGCAGATGGGGAATTGGAGAGAAAAAAAAAAGTAGCTCCTGGGACTCAGAGGTAAATTGTAAATTGCAATTGGTATCAGCTGTACCATGACAAAAGTGAGTATCTTTCCGCTAAATAAGTATTCAAAAGACATGGAATGGCGCAAGGGCTCTTGAATTTCAAGATTACGCCTCTTAAGAGTCACTGGAAATACATCGTCCGCGTCTCTTTATATTCCCCTAGCTTATGATCTCTGCCCTATCATCGCAAAAGAGGTCAGCCGGAAACTTCAAATCAAACTGGGACGGACAAAGTTACCAGCGCTTCCACAAAGCCATCCATCAATGCTCTTTCCCGGGCAAAGAATCTGGGGTGCTCTGAGTGCTCGGGGTCAAATATCTGGGCAAGTTCATAGTCGATCAAGAGTACCCGATCAGAATCACCCTGAATCAGCATGTTTCGGGGATAGATATCAAGGTGTACAATCCCAGCGTCATGAATATCGTTTAGGAGCCGGTGGAGACTGCGAGCTCTTTGCTCTGTGTAGTTAGAGAGGTCAAACATTTTCAGATCAGGAATGTATTCCATCAGGACACCGTTTGGACGAGCCTTGGGATCAAGGCACTGAGGAAAAGTTTTGTCATGGAATTCCTTGAGCTGGGGTTGCCAGCCCTCCGCCTCGGGGTCAATATTCTCAACCACCCCCATAGAAATCAGATACAGATGCGCGTTCGCAAAATCCTCGGGCCTTCAATCGACTATATGCGCGGCTCTCGTTTTTGAAAAGATCGAAAGAACGGAACGGTGGGCCGCACCTGTCCCATTTATAAGGAGAAAACTACCAAACCCGTTAGAGATCACAGCCACAATGTGTAGCTTCATCACTTACCACTTTGAGCACGCAGTCTTTGCCTTGCCAGCGGGTTCGGCACAGATACAAACTGTCTGTCTCTTTGATAACCTCAACGAATTTCACATTGGCAAGTTCAATACTGGGTGGATCATAGTCTGCATACATCTTGATTATAAGGCGACAGGTCTTGAAGATAAGTGGAATAGTGGGGGAGAGACAGGGGTAAGAGTCCTAGAGAGCCCGACTACCCAACGTCTGTCAGTCAACACATATTCCTATTGAGAATCGTTGCGGTCAATTTTCAAATCACATCAAGTAGCCGAAAGAGTTGGGTGTTATGATCCCTCAAAATCAGTTACAGATGTGATATGTATATATGTAATGGGGTACTTGACCGTCTTTTTTAGCACTTGAAGCGCGCGCCTATTCACCTCACCACTTCCTCTTTTGGACTACATATATATACAACATACGAGAATAGTCGGTCGCTTATGCCTCCGTACTTACGACGTAGGACTTCAGAAATATGATCTATTTGGCTCAAGATGATATTAGCGACGTCATATTTAAGATGACACTACAATATATTTTGGGGCTAGTTGTCTTTCTAGATATGTTTCTACATGTCTTTTTGGAAATCTTTCTCTCTCCCGGGTGTCATAGCAAGAAATATGAATTATATTCGGTGCACAAACTATCGTTCCTCGCAAATACCACCTCTCATTAAAATATCGCGGTACAGGATCGATTCTAGCTAGTGTAAAGCCCAGCAAGCCCATTAAGCCAAGTTCTCTACGATATAAGGAATGGTTATAAGGTGTAGGGAAGCCGACGTGCCCCGGGATATCTGTCTATACGAATAGTGAGTTTGATCGTTCATGACCTGCAAAATGAGTTCGAGGGCACTGTCATGAATTTAAACCGGTTTATTGAGATTGCCTGTTTCGTTTTGTGATTAATCGCGAGGATCTGTACGACTGGACAGCATAATTTGGGTAAGTGGGAGATAGACAGCCCCGACTTTATGATTTATATTGGGGAATACGGGTATATTTCTTGGGGAGCCCGAGAGGAAAACACAATATGTATGTCGACAACCGACAATTCTATTATGTATATGGGGGATATTAATCCAAATATGATAAACTACACGCGCCTGTACCATGGACACCTCTAAAATCGTAACAGGCAATCCGAACCGTACACTCGTTGCATCGGCAGATCAGACATTGACGCTATAACCGGAACCCATCCCACGCCGACGACGGATCGCATGCAAATACTTGCGGCCTTCGTCCACCCAGAACACAGAACTGGCAACGCAGACTAGCTTGAACAAGGACCCGAAGCCGAGAGGCTCCGTCTGGAAGATGCGCTGCAGGAACGGCAGGTAGATCACGCAGGCTTGGCCGGCCAGGGAGCCGAAAACAGCGTAATTGAACATCTTGTTTCCAAAAAGTGGCATTTCGCCGCGCAGGACCGACTTGCTTTCGCTGCGACAGCTCAATGCGTTGAACATGTCGAATAGAACGAAGCAGGTGAATGTCATGGTGGTGTCGTGCGCAGTGACGATGCGCGAGCGCTTGCCGACGGGGCTGCCGTCGGTGATATCGCCCATTTCGCTGATGTAGATTGACAATGTGCCGACCATGATGACCATGGCTGATGTGAGAACACGCTGGATCAGAGGTTTTGTCAGAACACGGGCTGTCTTGGGTCGTGGTGGGCGGTTCATGATGGTAGGGTCGACAGGCTCGACGCCTAGGGACTGGGCGGGCGGGCCATCCATGAGAATATCTGTAATGATTGTTAGAGAAACACAGGAGCTGGAATCAGATGCAGGAGTACTCACTGATCCACAAGATCTGCATAGCATTCAGCGGATTCTTGAAGCCAAGAGTGGTGCTCAGTAGTACAAGGCTGAGTGCAGCCACACTGGTACTAAGCTGGAACGTAATGAAGTTCTGGATGTTATAGAAGATGCCCTTGCCCTGTTCAATTGCCCGTAAGATAGTCGAGAAATCGTCGTCCGTCAGAATCATGTCCGCTGCCTCCTTGGCAACATCGGTGCCAAGCTTGCCCATGGAAATACCTATGTCGGCTTTCTTTAGAGCGGGCGCATCGTTGACACCATCACCGGTCATGGCAACTACATCGCCGCGGGCTTGAAGTGCTGTCACAATCTTCATCTTGTGATCTGGGCTTGTACGGGCAAAGATCGAGACGGTTGAGATCGCCTGAGCAAGTTCGGCGGCAGTCATGCGATCGAGTTCATCGCCTCGGATGACCGAACGTGCACGCGGGGAATCGGTGACTGGCATCCCAAGCTTCTTCGCAATGGCCACAGCTGTTGTCTCGGCGTCGCCAGTAATCATGATGACTCTGACGCCACCAGACATCAAGCGTCGAATGGATTTGTGCACATCTTTACGCGGCGGGTCGTTCATACCCATCAGCCCAGCAAAGACCAACCCGTTATACCGCTCGTCATCATCACCCTGAATGATTTTCGGGGACGACCGACTGCCAAAGCCTCTGCCACCTCTAGACATATCACGGACAACTCCACTGCCAAAAGCAAGGACTCTAAGGCCCTCTGATGCCATAGTCTCTGCTGCTTCCCGGATTATTTTGCGGCGGGGCTCGTCTAAAATTACTTCCCGACCATCCTTGGTGAGATAGGTATCCGATCGCGCCAGGACCTGTTCGAGAGCACCCTTGATATAGGCAACATGGGAACCTCCATTTGAAGCACCAGAACTGCCTATAACAACACCCATCCATTTCCTCTCGGAGCTGAACGGGGTTTCATGGACGCGAGCACTGATACGATCGCGCACATCATCTTCTCCCAGGGTATCCATTAGATCCAAGATTGCCACATCGGTGGGTTGACCTACCCACCGACTCTTGGCGGCGGCCGAATCACTGTTGATGGTGGAAGAAAGTACTGCCGCAGAAGATGCGCTGGCTGGCGAGTTTGCATGCATACGGGACAAACGAGAGTTATTTGCAATGTTACCAACGCGAAGGATTGTCTGCGCTGCAGGGCCAGGAGGCATCACCGAAGTCATTTCTCTTTGCACCTCGAATGGTTCGGGGCAGTCGAAATGCCACATTTTGGTAACTGTCATGTGGTTGAGGGTAAGAGTGCCGGTCTTGTCCGAGCAGACAACGTTGACAGAACCAAGAGTTTCAACGCTGGGGAGTCTTCGCATGATCGCCCCCCTCTTGGCCATGCGCAGGACGCCGAGAGCGAGCGTGACAGTGACAATGATAGGCAAGCCTTCCGGGATTGCTGCGACGGCCAGCGAAACACCGATTGTGAACATTTCAAGAATCTTACGACCTTGTATAAGACCGATAACCACGATCAATCCGATGACACCGAAGGAGATATAACTTAGCTCCTGGCCCAAACGATCCATAGACAGTTGCAACGGTGTTCGGGGACTCTCAATTTCTTGTAGCGAAGCTGATATACTGCCAAACTCCGTCTTGGCACCGGTCGAGATCACGATGCCCTGGCCGTAGCCCGAGCGGACTAGTGTGCCCATGAACGCAACGTTGTGTTGCTCGTTCAACCGAATGTCAGCACCAACAGCACCGCTGGCCGGTGCATCGTAGAACGGAGATCGAGGGGGTTCTATTCCTTTTGGCCCTGGAGTGGCCCTGCCCGATGTGCTACGCAGAGCTTCCGCATACTTCACCACAGGTTCGTTCTCTCCAGTCAAGTTCGACTCGTCAATGCTAAGATCTGTTGCAGCAGTGATTCGAATATCGGCGGGAATGCGGTCTCCGGTAGTGAAAAGAACTAAATCCCCGGGCACAAGTTCGTTCGCGGGGACGGTTGATGAGGCCTTGACCGCGGCGGACGCCGAGCCTGGGCTTTTGGTCCGGATTTCGTCCATTTCCATGCCTGAACCCAGGGGAGGCGAGCCACCATTCTCAGCTGTCGCGGAGGAAGTGGTAGGAAGGTCACGGATCAAATGGGCATAATGGGGTACAAGCCGGCTCAATGCTTCCAACGACTTCTCTGACCGATACTCTTGAATAAAGCCAACAGTCACAACAATTGTTACCGCAAGAGTAATGCTGATGGCATCATCATAGTTGCCCATCACAAACGAAATTCCAGCAGAGCCGAGAAGGAGGAGAATAAGCGGTTCCTTGAATTGTTTAAGAAACCGCAGCCAGAGGGGTTCCGGCTCATCGTGGGGAAGCTCGTTCGGTCCATCTCTGGCCAAGCGTATCTCCGCCTCGGCGGGTGTCAGGCCGTGTAAAAGGGAAGTTCGTAGTCGCTCGGCAGTTTCATGAGGCTCGAGCCACGAATATGTTGAGGTGGATGTCTGCAAGAAAACAAGACCGTACGTTAGAAACCCCATTGTCTAACGGCGCGAAGAAGTGGACATCGGAACGAGATAGCACACGTGGTACGTAAACCATTTATACTTACTGACGGTGGAGTATTTGATCGTCCGGTCATAGGTGTTGTGGAGGGAGGTTGCAGAAAGTCGATGTTTGATGCATTATGCAACGGCAATGAAGGTATTGCGGACCTTGACATTGCTCATGCTTTGGAGGATGGATTATTAAAGGCGATAAAATAAGACTTTAGATATGCCGGGAGGTAGTTTTCATCCCGTCTCGACAAGAATTGACTATGCCTCGAAAATTCACGTTAGATGCGATCTGGCAGCAGCTGCACACGGGGGCTAGACTAACAGCTGGATTTGCGGAGTTGGCGCAAGTGGGTCGACGACAAACAAGGGACTGACAGATGACTTAACACCAAAAAATCCAATTCGCTTGCGAAAGAGCCTTTTTTTCGCTATAATCCAAACCACAAAATAATCCCATTCGGAGCAACAAGTCCACTCAGAAGAGGCTGAGTCCCATGATAGGTGATGCTTTACCCGTTGTGGCTTAGTGATCCCGGGTAGGGAGTTTATCCGACACTACATTTAGACTAGCGCAAAGTATCACGTGTAGGGCAGAGTATACGATGTACTCTATAACAGCAATAATTTTATACAAGACCTTTCTATGATTCCGAGAACATTGTTGGGTGTCTCATCGGTGGCTTCTTTCTTTCTATATCTGATGTTAGCGTAATATTTCTTTCCACTAGCGAAAAATAGGCATTGTTGTGATACTTCATACGA